CAGCTATTATGTATAGTAGCTGCCCTCTTCCTATTGTGCCTTGCCCCCTCCCCTGTGTGACGTCATGCCAAGATGGTTGCTCCCACCAAAGAACAAACCCTTCTTCCCAGCATGCCCCTGTTCCCGCCTAGAAAATAACCTAATACTCGCTCACCTCCTACCACCTAGTGACATCACCGGCTCCTGCATTCCCTAGTCACTATCTCACTCAACCCCACCTCAGCCCCTACAAACCCCACCCCAGTCTCTATAAAAGACTCTCCCTGCCCCAGCCATGCTGCTTTTGTCTCTCCTTTGTTCAGAGACAGCCCTGCAGATCTATTCCCCTAATAAAGGCTTGTTGTGGCCTGGTTTGGTCTTGGTCTTTGTCCCTTTTACCTGATATAACAACAAAACAAAACAAAAAGAAAGAAAATGATAAAGGATGGACAGAAAGGGACAAGGGGACAGATCTTATCCAATAGGGAAGCGGTTCAAGGGAATAAGGATGAAGGTGAGGAGGAGGGGAAGGGGAAATGAGAGGAATAAAGATGTGCCATGTACAGATCCTAGCAACTCCAATCAATGGAAACATTATATATTATAACATGTGGGCCAGGGATTTAGCTCAGTGGTTTCAACACAAGCGCAAGGTCCCGAGTTTAATCCCTGGTACCAAAAAAAAAAAAAAGGATAACATGTGGTAAGACTAATATCCACAAATGTGTAAAAGGTGATGGGGAAACCAGAGGAAGAGCTGGGGAGGGGAGGGAAGGGGATTAGGAAAAAAAAGCTATGGTTTGTACATGTAACCACTCCCTAAGATGATTGTAAACTGTGTGAATTACATGAAATTCGAATTAACCTCCTGGCCTAGACTAGCCAACCTGTCATGCAAGAGAGAAATAATTTGCCTTGCTTTTTTTTTTTTTTTTGGTATCAGGGATTGAACTCAGGACCTTGCACTTTCAAGGCAGGTGCAGTGCCACTGAGATAAATCCCTGGTCTTAATTTGTCTTACTTGAGCTTCTGTATTTAGGGTCTTTTTGGTTTTAGGTTTGGGAGGTTTTTTTGGAGGGATTTTGGTTTATTTTTTTTAGACAAGGTCTCCTTATGTAGCCCAGGCTGGCCTCAAACTCGTGATGATCCTCCTGCCTCCGCCTCCCAAGTGCTGGGATCACAGGCATGCGCCACCATGCCCAGCGAGGATCGCTTTGTTACAGTAGTTTATCGCTTTGTTACAGTAGTTTATCCTTTACCCAAATACAGGCTTCTCGTGGGAGTGTGTTAAATGGTAACTGTGCCTTATAATTATCATCTTTTCTACTAGGAAGCCAACTCCTAATTGGTTCCTCTGCTTCCTATTTTGCCTCCTGCATCTATTCTCAGCAGCTGGGGTAATTCTTTTAAAAGAGAAGTCAGAAAAGATTTAAGAATTTAAAAAAAAAAGACACTGTCTCAAAAGAAAAAACAATGAAAGGGAAGTCAGGTTGTATTCATTCTTTGCTGAAAACCCTTACTCAATAAATCAAAATTCCTAAAATAGCCTCCAAATTCTTGCCTGATCCACACCTTCTCTCCAGGCACTCTTATCTCACTGACCACACTTTCCTAGTCCCCCCTACTCTCTATTGAGTTCTCAGTCCAGTCTGTCTTCCTGCCTTAGGGTCTTTGCACATTATACTCCCTCGCCTGTCCCAGATATCCACGTGGCTCTTTCCTTTATCTCCTTCAGGGCTTTGCTCATATACCTTCCCAGAAAAGGCCTTCTCTGATCACCCTATCAGGACTGTACTCCTCCCTCTGACTCCCTAGCACATTATCCCATACCCTTGCCTCAGTTTCTCTACAGCACATATCACCATTTGACATAATATGCATTTTCTTTTCTTTCCTTTTGAGACAGGGTCTCACTATGCAGTTCAGACTGACCTTGAACTCACTATGTAGCCCAGGCTGGCTTCCAGCTCCTATCAGTCCTCCTGCCTAGGCCTCCCCAGTGCCAGGATTATAGGTGTGCGTCGCACTTGGCTTATATTTTCTTTCTTTACATGTTTATTGTTTGAGATGCACACTCTGTAAATGTAGAGATTTTTGATTGTTTACTGCTGTTTTCTTTCTTTTAAAAAATTTCAGTTATTTATTTATTTAGCAGTGCTGGGGGTTGAACTCAAGGCCTTTGCACTGAACTACACCCCCAGCCTTTTCATTTTTTATTTTTAGACAGGGTCCTACTAATAGCTAAATTGCTAAATTGCCCAGGCTGGGCTCAAGCTGGCGATCGATCTTCCATTCCCAACCTCCCAGAGTACTGGGATTACAGGTGTGTACCACTACATCAGTCTACTGCTGTGTTTTAAGTGCCTGTAAAAAGTGTTCAATAAATAGCCAATGAACAAATTCCTCGGGCAAACTGTGTAATCCCCTCAATGTCTAGCACACTGCCTCGAATGGAGTAAAATATTCATTAAATATTTGATGATTGAACTATGATGGAAGAACACTAGTGTTCTGCCTTGCAGTTTAGTTTCTTCTCCAATTCCTATTCCTAGGTGTACACATGGGCTTACATCACAATTCTGAGTTTGTGAGAGTATGATAAAAGGTCAGAAGTCATCTGTGGACACTGCTGAAAATGGCAGTAAGACAAAGTATGCTGCTTAAAATAAATGGGGGAGCACCTGTGGAGTGGTCCATGCCTATAATCCTAGAACTCTAGGAGGCTGAGGCAGGAGGATTGCCAATTTGAGCTCAGCCTGGACAATTTAGCAAGACTTATCTCAAAAGAAAAATATCTGGGGATGTAGCTCAGTGGTAGAGTGCCCATGGGTTCAAGGCACAATACTGAGAGGAAGAGAGAGACAGAGAGAGAGAGAGAGAGAGAGAGAGAGAGAGAGAGAGAGAGAGAGAGGCTTTGAATGTTTTCTGCCTACTTTGACAACTCGTTACCCTTCTCTGGATCTCAGATTCACCCTATGTAAAGTGAAGCTAGTAGATTATATTACCTTGGAAGCCCATACCCCTTTCTTTTCTCTGGTACTGGGGATTGAACCCAGGACTTTGGCCCTGAGCTATAACACCAATCCCTTATTTTTTAAATTTTGAGATAGAGTTTCCCTAAGTCACTAAATTGCCCAGGCTAGACTTAAATTTGGGATCCTCCTGGCTCAGCCTCCCAGATTTTTATTTTTGGCAATCCCAGCACTCGGGAAGACTGAGGCAGGAGGATACCAAACCTGAGCAATTTAGTGATTTAGCAAGATCCCATCTCAAAATTTGAAAAATAAAAAAGGATTGAGGTTGTGGCTCAGGGTGAAGGTCCTAGGTTCCACTGAACAAAATCCCTCGAACCACTGAATAAAACAAAATGAAGCAAAAGATTGGTAGACCCTGGGGCCTCTGATGTGCTAAGCAAATGTTTCACCACTGAATTGCATCCCGCGGCCATATAGTCACTTTTTTCTTTTTTTGAGACAGGGTCTCACTATGTAGCCCAGGCTGGCATCAAACTTGAAGCAATTCTCCTGTCTCAGTCTCCCAATTGCTGGGATTACAGGCATGCTCTACCATGCCCCGAAATAGTCACTTTTTAAGAAATAAATTTTATTTTATTTTATCCCCCCCCCCCTTAAGCCCCCTCCCCTCCCTGTTAGTCACTTTTGATTCTAAAATTCTATTTTTTTAATCCATTTTTCTAATCCATGGCTGGAATATGCTTAATGAAAACATGGTGTCAGAATAAAGGTTTATATTGATTCATTAACATATATCATTATAAAAATAATAAAACAGTGGTAAAAGCCACATTAGTGAGCTAGGTATGGTGGCATATAGATGTACTGTACTTGGGTGGTGGAAGCAGGAGAATTGCAAACTCGAGGCCAGCCCTGTATCAAAATTTAAAATGATTAAAAAGCCACTTTTACAACACAAGTGATGCCTTTGAAGCTCACATGAGGGAGGCAGAGGTATTGAAAACTAGGTTTTCATTGGGAGGCTGAGGCAGGACGATCATCATGAGTTCGAGGCCAGCCTGGGCTACAAAGGGAGTTCAAGGCCAGACTGAACTACACAGTGAGACCCTGTCTCAACAAAACAAAACAAAACATCAACAAAAAAACCACTAGGTTTTCTGATTCCTACAGGGCTCTTTCTGGAGTCCCATAGTATACTATATTTTCTTTCCTTTCCAAGGGTTAGATAAATCAGACCTTTACTGTCCAGACGTTTTGGAAAATCCACTCTTTCATTTGTTTGAACATACTTGGTCTCAGCGTTAAAAATAAAACACAACTTTCCCTGTAGTGTCTGTGGATGACTCAGGTAGCCTGCCTTCTGTCACTTTCCCCTTGGAATTTGTCTTCCAGGCAAAGACAGCACTGTGGAATATGAAGAGTTAAAAATCTCTTTGGATGCGCTAAGGTTTTGAGTGTCTCTGTGATGTAAAATTCTGCCTCATCCTTATAAAGAAGTAAAAATCTCGTTCAGAAACCTACACGTTCTTGTAGCTGCCATCCAGATTTTCTTTGTTTTGTTTTGGTACACGGGGATCGAACTTGGGTCCCCGCGCTTGCGCAGTAGGCGGAGAAACCACTGAGCTAAATCTCCGGCCCGATCCAGATTTTCTTTAAAGGAAACTATAAACCAGAGCCAGTCTTCGGTTTTTTTTCGCTAAAGAAGATAAACAAAAAAAGCAAGCGCAGCTGACTTCTCATTTGGAGGAAAGAGCTTGCCCTGCCCGTCACCCAAAACCCGCCACCCACATCCTCTCGCCAGCAGGCAAGCTTCACCGCTCCAGCTAGCATTTCACACACCCCCACCCCCACCCGCGCCCGCGCCCGCGCCAGCTACCAGGAGGCGGGGCTATTTCTTCCTCTCGCTCCAGTTTGCACCCTCCAGCCAATACCTGAAAGAACTGGAGGGAGGTGACGCTAAGCCAAGACTCCGCCCCTCTCCGTGGTTCAGCAAATCGAAGACGGCGGAGGTGTGGCCTTCCCGCTGATCCCGCCTTCGGGCGCTAGGTAATTTAGAGCGGCGTGCCGGGCGGGAATGTAAGATGGCGGAGTAGCAACGCGAAGCTTTCGGTATAAGTGTCTGGGTGGAGTTCGGTTCCCGTCTCCACAGCAGCTGTAATCGTTGAGCGAAGAGAGCCTAGGGTGGTTGCTCAAGATGCCGAATATCAAAATCTTCAGCGGCAGCTCCCACCAGGATTTATCCCAGAAGATCGCTGACCGCTTAGGCCTGGAGCTGGGCAAGGTGGTGACTAAGAAATTCAGCAACCAGGAGACGTGGTAAGGGCGAAATTGGGACCCTGAGCGGTCCTCACCAGGCCAGGCGGTTGGGGGCCTGTGGGCTGGAGCCTCCGCGGGAGTTCCGGGGAACTGGGGGAGGGGGAAAAGGGCAGCTCTGAGGAGGGTGCCCGTGGGCTCTTTCCCGTTATTTTACCTCTCTCGGGAGGGTCACACTTATTCTCACCATGCGGTGGGGTGGAATCAAGATGGAGCATCAGGCAAAGCTGCTCGCCTTGAAGGTAAGGATGGAGACCCGATGCGGGGATAGTGGCTGCCCATAGCGATGGGAGGGAACAGATGCTTAGCCTCAGCCCTGCAGACACGTGGCTTTGTCTCTTCACTGTGGAGCCACTAGGCTGGACCGGGTTGCTCCAGCTCTTGGGCTCTTGTGCGTCGTGCATCGGAGAACCTTCTGAGCCCTCCTGGTCTTTTTTTCTAAAGTCTAAAAGCAGTTTTTCAGTTCGGAATGGTATCGGTCCCGTTTGGTTTTAAGAGAAACTAATGTTTTGTATTAAGGGCGCGAAAATACTGCTTGACAACTTCCCTTAGATTGGCAGGCGTTGGCTTTTCACATCATCAGAATTTACCAAGTAATCGGAGCCAACCTTGCGTTAAATCTAGCTGATTGGACAAAGTGATGTATTAGCTTTGGATCCGCGATACCCAGCTTGAGTCATCCCCAAAATCTTAGGGAACTTTAGCTTTGGAACCGAATCTTTGACTTTCCCCAGTGCAGCTACTGGTACTGATAATACATCAGGATATTTTTCAGTAACAGCCTCCTGTCACTGTTGTGTGTATATATGTGTGTGTGGGTGGGTGGTGGGTGTGGGGGTAAGGACAATTTTGTACCTGAATGTTAAAATATTTTTTCTGTACTTTTGATTAAACCCAGGGCCTTTACACACTGAACTACATCCTCAGCCCTTTAACAATTTTTATTTTTCAAGCCTGATATGGTGGCACACCCCAGCACTGGCAAGGCTGAGGCAGAATAAAACTACATTGCAATTTAAATTTTTTTCATTGCCTTGCCAGTAAAATTTCCCCACTTCCACCCTCCACAAGCACCATTAGACCGTGTTAGATAAATAACTCGATTACCTACTTCTATCAGTTCTTCCAGCTAAGTGCAGGATCTTCTGGTCCTGATAAATGCTTTTGTTACGTATCAATCCAGAGAATTGCCCGTAAACATATAGTCATCTGGTAGTGCTGGTTTTCACCCAATGATCAGCAAAATTAAGATTATTTCAAATGTTTTTCACTTTAAATGCTTTTTACTTTTTTGCTTCTGTACTTTTTTGAGATAGAGTTCTCACTATGTAGTTCAGCCTGGCTTTGAACTCACTACCTAGCCCAAGCTGGCCCTTGTGGCACTCCTGCTTCAGCCTCCAAGTGCTGGGATTGATTATGGGTGTGCACTGCCAAGCCCAGGTCTTTTGCTTCTTTAAACCACTTTACAAGCAACTTTCCTTATCTTTTTCACACCTAGTTAATAGAGTATTCATCTGTAATGAATAGTCCAGGCTTGATGGCATGTGCCTGTAATCCCAGCCTGGGCTATGCAGTGAGTTCAAGGCCAGCTTGACTTACATGGTGTTGTGTCCAGATTGTGAAGTCCCAGAGACCACCAGGAGGCCGTTTCTGATGTAAGCACACAAGGGTCGTTTATTTAAGTTTAAGCAGGGACTCTCAACTGTCACCGACACAGCGGATCGAGATTGAGAGCCCTGAGTCCCTAACTAGCAGGGTTTTTATTGAGAATACAACAAGCTTTGGTTATTAGTAGCCAGGTGATTGGTTAATACTCAATACATATGAAGTGTAGGGTTTTGGTTGGCTAGGCTTTGGGGGTCGAAGGGGATTACGTATTGGTTTTTGTGAGGGAGAAAAGGGGCAAAGATTAACGGCCGGTTGTTACTTGTTACATACTGATCGTTAGCAGATCCACTAATGGCCGCATCTATCTTGTGTGGACAGTCAGCTCATTAACTGTTTATCCTACAGATAGTGTGTCTGGAACGCTCTCTCCCCGGGTACACAGGTGGTTGGGTAATAAACTCAGGAATTTCAAGTGGTGAATTCCTAGTTTAAGCACAAATTTGAGAGAACAAAGGAGACGGCTCCAAAATGGAGTCATTTTGGTCCCACAATGGCAAGACCTTGTCTCAAAAAAGCATCTGTAGGGCCAGGGATTTAGGTCAGTGGTACTGCCTGCCTTGAAAGCACAAGGTCCTGAGTTCTATCCTGAGTACCCCCCCCCCAAAAAAACCCATCTGTAATGGATAGCTTCTTGGATTAGCATGTTGCTGATTGTAATACAAATGATCACACAAACACTACTGCCTTTTGTAACAGGGCAATAATCATTCAAAAGGACCTTGCAAGCTGCTTTCTCTAGCTTTGACCACACCATTATGGCTCATGGGCCTTAATAAAGACAAAGTAGGACCATACAGTAAAGGGCAGGACAATATTTTTCATTTAGAGGTTTTCTTTGGTCTCTATATTGTTCAGTCCTTTTTTCCTATGCTTTCAGGAGAAATATGAACACTATTTTCTCCTTGTTTTAATCTTTCCAGCCTCTGCATAATGCAGCGCACCAGAAACTGAAGCCATGTTGGTGGTAGTTGGGAGGGTGCATGGGGAACAACTTAGTTTTAAACTAATTGATCTCAGTTAAGCCCAACGTGGGTAATTACTGACAGGTTAGTTTCCTTGTTTCTGGTTTAATCATTAGCTTTTTGGTTCTATAGATATTCTGAAATCTTCACTGAACATAAAGATGTTTCCTAAGGAGACTCCTCCCCACATACCCATTTTTCCCCTAAGCTGCAGAAATTATAATTTCCCCAGTGACCCTTGGGTTGGTTTGTTTTGGAGATATCCTGAAGATTGAACCCAGGACCGTTCCCACTGAGCTACATCTGCAGCCCTTTTTTGTTTTGTGTTTTTGAGACTGGGTCTCTGTGTAGTTCAGGCTGGCCTTGAGTTTGATGATCCTCTTGCCTTAGCCTCCCTAGTGCTGGGATTACAGGCAAGTGCCATCACACTGGTTTAGCCCTTTGTTTTATTTTGTTTTTGTAGTTCAGACTGGCCTTGAACTCACTATGGTACCCAGGCTGGCCTTAGACTCTGCCATCCTCCTGCCTCAGCCTCCCAAGTGCTAGGATTACAGGCATGCACCACCATGTCCTACTTAGCCCTCTGTTTTAATTTTTTTTTTGCTGGTACTGGGGATCAAACTCAGGACCTTGTGCTTGCCAGGCAGGTGCAGCACCACTGAGCTAAATCCCCAGCCCTTGTAGCTTTTCTTTTGAAACCAGAATCAACCTGTGCTGTCTAGTTATTTAGGAAATATACATTCACATAGAAAATATACATAAATTTACAATTTGTGTGGATGTGTGTATACTTACATTCACACAGAAGTTAAAGTGCTGGGATCAGAGAAGCTGGATTTGAATCTCATCACCCAAGATAACTTCACATTTTGATTTATGACCTCCCACGTTTCTTTGTGTAAATGAGTGTTTATATTACTTTTCCCAAAATGTAAAGCAAGCTTTCTTCACTTAGCAATTTATTTTGAATGATTTTCTTCTTCAATATTTAGTTTAATGTATAGCAAATGCTTAAGTGCTGGTTTCTGAGTTACACCTTGACTATACTGTATTTAATCCTCTCAACAGTGCCCTTTATATTCTGGTTTTACAAAAGAGGGAAATGAGTTTCAGAGATTAACTCTAGATATGGATCTAGATATTGCTATGCTTTCAAATTTTTGCTGGTATTCAGTCCATTTTGTTATTTTGCTTTGACTGAGAGGGGAAAACTTACTTTAGGTAACACTCAATTAACCCGAGGGAACATATGGTAGTATCACCTTCCGAATTGCTGAGCTAGGTCTTTCTACCTTACAGTCTCTTAGGAGCAAATAGGTTTAAGGGCACAGCTGTTCCATCAGTTATTGGCATAGCTATTTATCTCAAGATACAGAGGAGACCATAAGAATAATGTTAATTCTATCTGTCTATCAATTGTATTGGGGATTGAACCTAGCACCTTAGCACTGAGCTACATTCCCAGCCCTTTGTTTTTATTTTGAGACTGGGTCTTGTTAAGTTGCCCAGACTGGGCTAGAATACAACTTGGAATCCTGCCTCAGTCTCCTAGAATGCTGGGATTACAAGTGTGTGCTACCACACAGGAGATTTTTAGAGGATCCATTGAACTGTTTATTGATCATTCTGTGTAATCTCAATGTAGTTTATGGGCTTTTAAGGCTTTGTCAAAGTGAAACTAGAATTATGTCCAATAAATCGAGGCAGTGGCCTAGTTTACTTGTGCCATCTTTTTTTTTTATCAGTGTTGAGGATGTACCCAGGGATGCTCTACCACTGAGATATACCCTCAACCTGCTTGTGAGCCAGACTTGCTGTGTAGGCCAGGCTGGCCTCAAACTATCAATTTGCTTCAGCCTCCCAAATAGCTTGGATTATAGGCACATTCCACCATGCCTAACTCTTGTTTTATTTTCATGAATCTCTTTCATAGACTTCCAGGTACAAAACCTTAAGAATTTCATGGGTTGGATCCTTAAATTAGGATACTGAGTAACACTTTAAATGTCCAATATATAACTACTTTGTGGGCATTTTCTATATTGACTAATATCTGAGGAATTTTTCACAGTGGTCTAGGAATGTTGTTTTCTAATCTTACTTGAAAATAAAGCATAGGGCCGGGAATTTAGCTCAGTGGTGCTGCTGCCTGCCTCACAAGTGCAAGGTCCTGAGTTCAATCCTCGGTACCAAAAAAACAAAAATAAAGAAAATAATAAAGCGTTAAAAGCACAGAGGAAGAGATGGTTAAGCCCATTCCTTATACTCTCTTGAATTGGAGTGTTAAGTCCCAATTAGAGAACCTAACTCTGGCCATTGAATACCTGGAGTCCAGATGATAAATCTGTGTTCTTGACAGAAACATAGGCCTCTGATACCAGAATGTAGAAGGCAAAGAGACCTTATTGGAAATCACTCTGCTTGGTTTTTTTGTCCCAGGGAAATGGACATCTTGGTCAAGCTGAAGTGTACCATAGAAGAATATGGGGAGGTTTAGAATTTTCTGAGCTTCGAAGTTGCTCAATTATTGGAAGTACTTGGTCAAAACCCAAGTTGTGTACCATAAAACAAAAGAGTATCTCTTAGCCTGGGATTTCTCAAAGTTTATAGTACAGAAAATCTGAGGAATCCCTTTGAACAACCACTGCTTCTTCTTTGCCACAGGGAGTAACTTATAAAACTTGGTCACCTCCAGGAGGTATTAATGCTGACCATTTGAATTTTCAAAAAAATTTTAATATATTTATCCTGGTAGATCAAAATCCTAATAGAGATGGTTTCTCTTCTCTTTATACTGTCTTCAATATAAGGTGTGCATCTTACAGCACATCTCAGTTCAGTTCCTCTATCACACTAGCCACATTTACACTTTGGTAAACGTGAAGGTTATTATTCTGGAACCCTCCCCCCCTCCTGTCCTGTGTATGTGAATTTTGAAGAATGTCTTCGGAAAGCAGTTTTGCCATTGGCGTAGTGGACATTGCCAGCAGATTTAGTTAGTTGATTTTTGGTAATTGATAAAATGTCTTCAGCATAGAGGATATGATATATATCCTTCTGTTTTATTGTTTTTGTTTTTGCTTTTTTGTGGTACTGGAGATTGAACCCAAGAGCACTGAGCCACACACATACCCCAGCCCTGTTTATTTTTTAATTTTGAGACAAAGTCCCACAGAGTTACCCAGACTGTCCTCAAACTGTCTGTCCTCTTCTCTTGGCCTCCAAGTAGCTGGGGTTACAGGTGTGTGCTGCCACAACTGGTTAGTTAATAGGATTTTTTTTTTTTTGAGACAGGGTCTCATTATGTAGTTCAGGCTGGCCTCTACTCATGGTGATCCTCCTGCCTCAGCTTCTTGAGTGCAGGGAATACAGGCATGTGCCACCACGCCTGGTGGGTTAAGTCACTTTTTTTTTTTTGTACTGGGGATTGAACTCGGAACCTTGTGCTTGTGAGGCAGGTGGCAGAACCACTGAGCTAAACTGACGAGTCACTTTTAATCTTACAGGTTCTCCAGACATCACACTTGATAAGATGGCCAGGGAATTTATTTTTATTGGAAACCTGAAAGGTGAATGAGGAAATTGTAGAAAGAGCATTCGGTGCACAGAAGCTATAGAGTAGAATAGGTTGTGTTGAAAAAATGTAGTGTGTAGCTAATGGATGACAAGCTAGGGAGAAAATATTTTGAGATGAGCTATTTTCAAGTTAACTTAAAATTGGAGCTCTCCAGGTTCCCTCAGTCTTTCATAGCTTCTTAGAAAATAATACAACTGAACTAGGTTCTTGTGTCTTTGACCACAGAAGTGCCTTTCTGTTTAAGTTATATGGAGGAAAGGTTAGAAGTGTCTTTTTTTTAATACTACTTCTGTGACCTAAGGCCTTTTTGTTTTGTTACTGTATTTTGTTTTGGTTTTCGTACTGGAGATTGAACCCAGGGCTTTTTCTAATGAGCTACATCCCCAGCCCTTTTATTTTGAGACAGTCTTGCTCAGTTGCACAGGTTGGGCTCAAACTTGCAGTCCTGCTCCCTAAGCCTCCCAAAGTGTTAGAATTACAGGTGTGTGCCACCATGTACAGCAACATGACGCCAGTTCTCATCAAGGGCTGCAGTGAAGGTTTATTCAAGTATACACAAGGTATAAAGTGGTAAAGCACTTGCCTAGCATGTACAAGGCCCTAGGTTCAATCCCCAGCACCACAAAAATTACTGAATTTTAAGATAACGGTAGATTTACATACAATTGTAAGGAATTATACAGAGAAATGTAGTGTGTCCAGTAACAAGTTTTTCCCAGCTTCTTATGGGTTTTTTTCCCCAAGCTATAGTTTTCTTGTACAATTTTGATACAGTATAACACACTGACCCTGAAATAGTCAAGACACAAAGTCATCCTGTCACCCCAAGGATCCTTCCTGTTGCCCTGTGGTAACCACATCCACTTTTGTTCTCCTCCCCCTCAGTATTCATTTTATTATTGCCTTTGGTTTTGTATCTGTCTCGTTTTGTTAATACTAGTCTTATAAAATGAGGTAGAAAGTGTTCCCTCATGTATTTTCTGGAAAAGATTGTGCAAAATGTTTGGTAGAATTCTCCAGTGAAATTGTCTTTATTTTATTAGTCTTCCTGGAGGTTTATCCATTTTATTGATTCCCATTTCCCCCCCCACCCTCAGCCATCTTTGTTTCATTGACTTTTCTCTATTTCTCTATTTTCAATTTTATTGATTTCAGCTCTTATATTTTCTTCTTTTGCTCGTTCCTCTAATTTGCTCTTTTTCTGGTTTCTTAAGGTAGGAACTTAGATTATTCACTTCAACAATAATGTATTTGTAGCATAAGGATCCATACTATAAAATCCTAATTTTTTTGGTACTAGCTGCCAGGAGTCTCATTTTTCCTATTTTATTTATTTATTTATTTATTTTTTTGTACCGGGGATTGAACTCCGTCCTTGTGCTTGCGCGGCAAGTGGCAAAACCACTGAGCTAAATCCCCGGCCCATCCCTATTTTAAATTGGTTTCTCTTTTAGTTTTTTTTTTTTGCGTGTGTGTGTGTGTGTGTGTGTGTGTGTGTGTGTGTGTGTCTGAGAACCAAACCCAGGGCCTTGTGCATGCTAAGCTGACATTCTGCCACTGAACCTATGCCACTAACATCCATTTGCTTTTATTTTTCTTGCATTACAGTTTAAACTAACTTGCCTTTCCCCAAAACAACAATAAAGTAAAAATAAAAAGGAAACAATATAAACTAACAATTTTTTTTTTGGTTTTTTTGGTTTGTTTTGGTACCAGGGATTGAACTCGGCCCTTGCACTTACGGGGCAAGTGGCAGAACCACTGAGCTAAATCCCCGGCCCACAATATTCTTTCTAAAAGTAGGAGTTCTTCAATAGCTACTTGGACTAGAAAGGAACAAATGATTCTCTATCAGCTTCTTTTTTGAAAATTTTAATTCAAGAGTATTGGGTAGTTTTTGGTGTACAAGCCTGACACTTTTTCAAAGAGGCATGAGAAGAATTTATTAGAGGAAGATATAGGATGCACTTGAGCAGAGTGTGAGTGCTCAGAGAAATGAGGTACTCATAATAGAACCTTTGCAGATTGTGATAGAAGTTTATCTTTCAGGATTCCTCTTGAAGTTGTTTTTAGGGAGAGAGAGTTTTTGGGTAAGAGTGATATAATAGACATAGGAATGCTGAGGATTTAGCTCAGTGACACAGTGCCTGCCTGGCAAGCACAAGGTCCTGTGTTCAATTCCTGGTATCAAAAATAAATAAACAAACAGAGGAGTTTCTGAAGCTACCAGTGAAATTGTAATAAATGTGTGGATTTTTTTTTTTTTTGGTACCGGGGATCAAACTTGTGCTTGCGAGGCAGGTGCACTACCACTGAGCTAAATCCCCAGCCTGTATCTTTTATTTAATAAGTATATTGCCTTTTGATTTGAACTGGTGTTCAGTAGACATTATTAACCATTCTGATCTTATCTACAGACACACACCTAATTTACCTAGAGGATTGGTTGAGTATATGATCTTTGGAGGGGGGGGGTCGCTATTTGGGATTGAACCCAGAGGCACTCTACCACTGAGCTACATCTCTAGCCCCTGACTTTTCAAAACAAGTTTTTCTTGGGCCAGGGATGTAGCTCAGTGGTGCCACCACTTGCTTCGCAAGCCCAAGGTCCCGAGTTCAATCCCAAGTACCAAAAATGTTTTTCTTGGTGGGGACCCAATTATGGGTGTGGAATTTTCATTATATGGTAAAACATAGCCCCCTCCATAGTTGGAATAATTTCCTATGGAGTTTTTATTAAACAAAACTTAATGATTAGATCAGAATATAGTTAGCACAGGAGAAAGTCAAGGACCACATCTCTTTTATTCACTGTTGTGACCTTAGCTCTATGACTAGCATATAAGCATTTAGTATTAAGTGAATTGCCAGTGTGGCAGAGGTGGTACTGTCTTCTTCAGAAAGCACCATTATAGAGCAGTGGTGATTAATTCCTTGTAGTTCTACTACTTTTGTTATGTATGGATTATGTAATAGTCATAGGTGATGCTTAATTTGTGTTTACACCACATGGCCACTTCCTGAAATTATGGTCCAAGTATTTGTGAGTACTTTAGACTCAAGTTAACTAATCTTTTTCATGTGATATCATTTGTAGAAACTCATAATATTTGTATAGTACACTGGAGTAAACTGAGCCAGGAAACTGCTTTTGGTCCTTCATGAGATCTCCCAAAGTCTAAGGGAATCATGTCCACATTAGAGCTATAACTCACCCACAGCATGGTCGTGGGGAAGCTATGTTTATTAGACGTTACTTAAAAACCTATTGGTTTTTTTTTTTAAAAAAACAACCTATTGTTTTATGTTCTTTTTCTTCATTTTAGTGTGGAAATTGGTGAAAGTGTACGTGGGGAAGATGTTTACATTGTTCAGAGTGGTTGTGGTGAAATCAACGACAATCTAATGGAGCTTTTGATCATGATTAATGCCTGCAAGATTGCCTCAGCCAGCAGGGTCACTGCAGTCATCCCATGCTTCCCTTATGCCCGGCAAGATAAAAAGGATAAGGTAGGAGCAGAATCCTTTTTCAGCAGGGAAAACAGGAGCATTGCTCAGAGTCACAAAAAGTTCCTTAACTATCAGATACATATTTATGGGTTATTTTAAAAAACATACTTACTTAGGTATTCCCCTATCTTCAAAACAGTAGACATATATTTGGTTTGTATAAAGGAACACATTTGTGTTCTGTTACTTTATTCAAGTCATACATATGTAACTTTCAGTTAGCTCATTAAGACTAAGCCCCAGTCCTGTGGAGAATATTTTTTAAACTATAGTAGATTCTCTGTGCAACTCAGTAGATGTTGTGTTGGGGTGCAACTCAGTAGATGGAGTCCCAGCTACTCAGGAGGCTGAGGATTGCCTGAGCCCAAGCAGTTCAAGAGTATGGGCAATGTAGCAAGACCCTGTCTCAAAAAACAAACACAACCCAGGTTTGGTGGCACACGGCTGCAATCCCAGCACTCTGGGAGGCTGAGACAGGAGAATTGCAACTTTGAGCCGAGCCTGAAGAACCTAGTAAGACCCTGTCTCAATAAAATATAAAGAAAAGAGGTGCGGATGTAGCTCAGTGTGGTGGCCCTGGGTCCAATCACCAGTACTGGGAAAAAAAAAAAAAGAAAAACATGTACACCCCCTCCCCCCAAAAAACCCTATAGTAGATCTTCTCAAGGTGTCCTAAGATTGGGGTCTTGGTGTTGTGACCTTTCATAAAATTTGAAGTCTGTTATATGAATACTTGGTTACACATATCTCACTTATATGGTATATTGAGGAAAAGCAACTACTTAAAACTTAACAAGTCTATTGTAACTTCATTTTTAAAACGTTTTTAATTTTATATTTTAATTTTTTAGATTTTGTGTTACAGAGGGGCAGGGTAAACTCAGGGCCTTCACTTTGAACTACATCCCCAGCCCTTTTTTTTGTTTTTTTAATTTTTAGTCTTAACAGTCTTGTTAAGTCACTAAGTTGCCCAGCTGCACTTGAACTTTCCATCCTTCTACCTCAGCCTCCCAGGGTCCTGGGATTACAGGTGTATAGCACTGTGTCCAGTTTTTGTTTTTCCAGTGCCTTGGATTTGACCCAGAGAGCCCTGAGCTACATCCCCAGCCCTATCTTTAAATTTTTTTTATTTTGAGACAGTCTCACTAAGTTGCCCAGGCTGGCCTTCAAATTGCAATCTTCCTGTCTCAAGCTCCTGAGTAGCTAGGATTAATAGGTATGTACCACCACACCTACCTGCAGTTTGATTGTAATTAATGCCCATTGTTTACACATAGCACCTGGGAGAAAGGTCAATATTTTTACTTCAACTCAGTATAGCATATTATAATAAGGACTTTACTATTTTATTGTGCAACAGGCCTGTTTGCCTTTTATTTAAGGGAGTTGAGGTTGCTGGAAAGTTAACTTCCAGATGATTAAAATAGTGATATAATTTACAAAAGAAAAAATTTCCATTTTGATGTATTCAATTTGGACATGGAATATATTATACAGGTATATCTATATACTAAGACATTTTAATGCAATTATTTAAAAGATATTTTGAGTCTGCTGATTTGAATAATTGAATATTGGAAGCACTTGAATAAGCTGAAAAGATATACATTAAAGAAATGAAGGCAGGTGTGGTTGTGGTGGCACATACCTGTAATCCTAGCGCTTGAGAGGCTTGAGGCAGGGTTTGACCAAAAGTTGGAGGCCAGTCTACTGGCTACATAGTGTCTCAAAAAAGAAAAGAAGAGCCGAGGATTTAGCTCAGTGGTGCCACGCCTGCCTTGCAAGTGAAAAGTCTTGAGTTCAGTCCCTGGTACTGATACATATATACATACATACTTGGGGAAATGAATTGTTTTCAAATTGTCATTTTGGTTTTTCTTTATTTCTTCCCCTCCATTTAGAGCCGAGCTCCAATCTCAGCCAAACTTGTTGCAAATATGCTATCTGTAGCAGGTGCAGACCATATTATCACCATGGATCTACATGCTTCTCAAATCCAGGTATCAGTAGAAGTTAAATACAGTAATGGGGTGAGAAAGGTGGGAGGAGTAGACTGGTAATGGTGAAGGCTGCAGAGGAGCTCAAAACTGCCCAAGTAAACTAGGCATTGACAACATTTAAAGATAATTCATTGTAAGTATAGTTATAAGCATTGTTTACCATCTGTTGTTTAGGGTGGTTAGCTGGGGGGGGTCTGATGTTATGGGAAGAGCAGGGTTTTGGATCAGACCTAGTTTGAGTACTCGTGCTTAAACTTGCTAGCTTTGTAACCTTAGGCAGGTTACTTCTCTAAAGACATACTTTTTCATTATTTTGAGTGTAAAAAAAGATACTCATAACAATTCCTGGCCTGTGATATGTGTTCAATAAATGTGAGCTTTATTGTCATGATTACAGTTCCCCTTGAACATTCAGTTTTAAATTTAGAACCACAGATGTAACCTATTACTTTCTTGCATAAACCCAGAGTAAGGGGAGTAGAATGCCACATTTATTTTATACTATTTAAAGATTCTTTCATAGTCATTATCATTTGAATTTTATGGCAATCTAATGAAGTACATAGGACAGAGAATTATACCCAATTTATAGAAAAGTAACAACTCAGTTGAGAAATCCATAAAAACTAGAATTAGAACATGGATTTTCTGACTACTAGTTACTCTGTGTGGTCATGTATTATAAATAGCTTCTACTCAGTTTATATACCATAGCATCTCTAACTGGTTTATGAGTTAAACTACTTCAACACTGAGTGACATAAAGCAGTATTAACTACTGAGTCTGAACATTGGTCGTGCAGTTTTTTTGGTCTTGGCTGAATTTAGCTATTCATAAGGGCTCATTTGGTTCTTATGGTCAATTGTGGGGTGACTGGGAGGTGGTTTTGCTAATCTTGGGTGCCGATCTTCTCAGCCAAGATTTGAGGAGGTCAGTTATAATTTCCCACGCCTTCTCCATTACTTTGAAGGTTGTAGTAAGGTATTCCCTGTGCAAGTTACTAATTTTTTTGTTAGTCATTTATAAATGGAAGAGAAGAAAAATAAAGCAAGACTGACCCAGCTTCTTTCTCTAGGGCTTTTTTGATATCCCAGTGGACAATTTGTATGCAGAGCCAGCTGTCCTGAAGTGGATTAGGGAGAATATCTCTGAGTGGAGGAACTGTACAATTGTCTCACCTGATGCTGGTGGAGCCAAGAGGTATGGTTGAAATTTTTTTTAGCAAAACATTTATTGGTATATTTTAGATATACATAATGATACATTTATCATAGGGAATTTGTACCACTACATGATATATCTTGCTTTTTTTTCCCCACCCCACCCTTCCTTACGTACAAAAGCTTTATTTCAATTTTTCCTTTGATTTTCCTTTTTTTTTCTTGTCCCTTCTTTCTGGTTATAATTAATATTATTCCAAACATATCAAGAAAAATTTTCAGAAATTGTGTCACAAGGTGATACTGTTGTATTCAAGTGGCAGTTTTTAAGTACTTTAGAATGGATGTACCAGTGGGTGAGATGTTGGGTTGTATACAGTTTACTTTTAGTGGCCTGAATTACTACTAGGTAGACAAGACAAAAGTGGCCCTAAATAGTCATGATATTGTGAGTGTGACTGTAAGTACAATAACTGTCTTAGTTACTTTTTTGCATAATGAGTCAAAATACCTGATACCTAAAGTTAAAGGAGGAACGGTTTATTTCAGCTCAGAGTTTGTAGAGGTTTCAGTCCAAGGTTGGCTGACTTCAAGGCAAGGTGTCATGGCAGGAGGGAATCACAAAGGAGAAATAATCCATGTCAAAGCAGGCAGGAGACAGTGAAGCTGCAAGCAGCAGCAGTAAGCATCTGCATCAGCAGAAGCAACAGCTAGTCTTCCTTTCCTCTTTCCCTTTATATTCCATCCAGGCTACAACCCTATTGATTGGTGCCACCCATGCCTAGGGTGGGGCTTCCATTATCTACCCCCTTAATCCCATTATCACACCCTTAATCCACATTCACACACCCTCATCCAGCCTCCTTTGAAACTCCCCACTTACTACCTCATGAGCCTTTGGGGGGACATCTAGATACAAGCCATAACAGTAACATTAGTAACTTGGCATTACAGAACTAACAACACTGCTATAAACTTATTGGGAAGGGTAGCAAATTTGATTTTCTAATAAATGGCAACTGCTGTTGGACCCCATATTAATGGATAAGCAAACTTTTACATACCTTTTTTAATGCTGTTGGTTAGATCATTTTGATCCTTGGAATCAAACTATTAAGCAAGAGGGAAAATAGTGTGGTGTTTTTATTTAAAACCAAGACTTTAAAATTTTAAGCAAAGCCATTGACAGTTACAGTGCTTTATAGCTCACATGGTACACACTAAGAGTCCTTGATTTTCTTCAGAAGTATGATACATGTTCTTGTTGTGGAAATAGAATGAAGAGCTACAAAACACAGATGATTAGGAAAAGTTAATTCAGGACTGTCTAAAAGCCATTGAAATCTTCAATGACTTTCACAATAGCCCATTTATTTCAGTAACTTCGAGGAAGTGATAAACTGAGAACTTGGAGTTCTGTTATCCAGACAGAAAGAAGTATGGCTTGATGAGTCCCACGTCTTCACTGGTTACCATCTGCAATATTAGATACAGCATGAAAACTCCCCCAGCTGGAAGTTGTCATACTGTCTCCTTAGGCATTATCTTCACATCTTGCTAGTGGACTTAGGAGGAAATGAATGGTCACATTTGAAATAATTAAGCAGAATTTGGGTATAGGAAAACTACCTTGAGCAGATGAATTACTACTTTTGATAATTTTCTTTATTAAAATTGGCTTATAGTGATGGGGTATTTTCCAAGGGAGTGCTATCACTTCTGTCTTGGCAGAGTTTGGCGTAACTCAGTGTGGCTTCCATTATCCACCCCCTTAACCCAGCCCTTTACTGTTTTCCTAGTCAGTGTGATGGCCAGCATAGATGGTTTGGGACACTTGGGTTAATTATGCATATGTGTTGGCTAAGTAATCATCCCAAGCAAATTAGTTACCACTGATGTTAATGTCCTAAGCAATAGTATGGAGAGCAGAGTGTAATTTGTTTAGATCAAGGTAGGAATATTGCCTAGAGTTGTGGTTCAAACCTTACTGTATGGTCACAAGTTCTGCCCTATCCAGCAAAAATTCAGGTATGTGACCATAGTCAAGGAAAAATAGGACATAATACTATATAGTTTGATCAATGTTTTCTTGCTTGCTTTCTTCATTTTTGAAACAGGGTTTGCTATGTAGTTTCAGCTGGCCTTGATCCTCCTGCCTCAGCCTGCCTAGTGCTGGGATTACAGCCATGTGCTATCACACCCAGCAGTGCTACATTTTAAAAGAAGACAAAACCCTAAGCACAGGCCTTTTCTTCACACATGATTAAGATAACACAGTGGAAGATGGGCATAATTTCATCAGGACAATCTACTGTTGTTCACACTCAATGGTTTTCTGCATGAATGGATTATGTGGTACTTTGTCACCAGACAGACTTCTGTTCCACCTTCTAGTGTGGTTTGTGTTATGTTGTAATAAGGAAAAAAAATAAGAATTCTGTTTGGATTTGGAGATACTTTGGGCTGTTAATTGGTGTAACTTTCTTTCTAGCATTCATAAAAGAACTCCCAAGCCTGGTGTCCAGGTACAGTTGACATTTACAGTTGGTGGATATTTTGCCACCATCACAGAGGGGAATGAACAGGCTGAACACTGCTCCTCCCCTGCCACCTAGTTCACCTCACCACATCCCCAATCACGGTGTTCAATGGAATTTAGGACCATCTGTGTATTTCCTATAGTAGTCAGGGAAGTTTTCTCTCTTCTCTTCTATTGCCAATCTCTTAATGTGCCTTGGTATTACACTGTGTCCCAGGACTGGTGAGGGTATCTGTCAATCCCCTACCCAGAATAAATGATCATCTAAGTTTGAGTAATGCATTCCTAAACTGCTACTGGAATATAGAGGCATTAAGCTATTAAACCCAGTTCATGGGATTTGCCTTTGAGACGTCAATGATAGTTGCTTTCATTGATAGTTGCTTTCATCCAGCCCTGGGAACTGTTCAGTTTTAAGGAGTGCCTCCACCTTCTTTTTGGATAGTGCTGGGCATGGAACCCAGGACCTGGCCCTTTACCATTAAGCAACACTGCCAGCCCCTAAGAAGCCACATACACATGTGTTTAACTTTGAATGGGCTCTATTTTGCAGAGTTACCTCCATCGCAGACCGGTTGAATGTGGACTTTGCCTTGATTCACAAAGAACGAAAGAAGGCCAATGAAGTGGACCGCATGGTGCTAGTGGGAGATGTGAAGGACAGAGTGGCTATTCTTGTGGATGACATGGCTGACACTTGTGGCACAATCTGCCATGCAGCTGACAAGTGAGTATGGAGTGGTTAAAAGTAAAAACATAAAAACTGCTATCAAATGCCACCAGCTTGCTGATTCTTTTTGTAACTGAATTGAAGGAATAAGTAGGGAGATTTTCATCACCCTAGGCTTGAATTATCCTAAATATAAATTGATGAATATTCTTTTTTCAAATTCTCTTAGTGCTTCCTCCAGTTTTTTAGTGCTGAGCAGATACTCCTTGTATGTTCAGTTAACCCATTATAAAGTGGAACTGTTGTGAGTGAAAATACACTGAATAGGGCCCGGGATTTAACTCAGTGGCACCGTGCCTGCCCAGCAAGTGCAAGGTCCTGAGTTCGATCCCCGGTACTGGGGGAAAAAAAAGAAAGGAAATACACTGAATATACCTAACCTACTGTGCATCACAGTTTAACAGCATAATGCACTGTACAGTATTGGCTTTTTCCCTCATGATGATGTGGCTGACTAGGTGCTGTGGCTTGTTGTGCTGCCCTGCACCATGAAGCAATGTCATATTGCATATTGCTATCCCAGAGATAGCTCAAAATTCCAAGTACAATTTCTACTGAATGCTTATTGCTCTTGTGGCATCATGAAGTCTAAAAATCATCACATCATTGAAGTGATGTCTGTATAACAAAATTTGTCTACGGCCGTACCACCCTGGACTTGACGATCTCATCTGTATGACAAAATTTGCCATTTTAACCTTTTTAATTTCTATTTTTTGAGGGCATTGTCTTTTTTTTGTTTTGTTTTGTACGGGGGGATTGAACTCCTCAGGACCTTGTGCTTGCTGGGCAGGCGCGATGCCACTGAACTAAATCTCAGGCCCTTATTTCTATGTTTTGTTATTGTTTTTGTTTTGGTACCAGGGATGGAACTTGGGACCTTGAGTTTGCGAGGCAGGCGCCGGAACCACTGAGCTAAATCCTTGGACCTTATTTCTATGTTTTAATTTGAGGCAGGGTCTCACACTAAGTTGTCCAGGCTAGCCTCAAACTTGAGATCCTCCTGCCTCAGCCTCCCAGGAAGCTGGGACTTATATGTGGACACCACCATGCCCAGATTAATATTTTAACCATTTGAAAGTGTGCAATTCAGTGGTATTAATTACATTTCACAGTGCTATAACCATCAATTTATTCCCATCCCCATACCAGGGATTGAACTCAAGGTCTCAGGTATGCTAGGCAAGCATTCTACCAGTGAGCCAGATCCTCAGCCCTTTTAATGTTTATTTTGAGACTGGGTCACACTGAATTCCCTAGACTGGCCTCAATCTTGTGATCAACCCACCCACAACCTCCTGAGTAGCTGGATATTAGGCATGCACTACCATACCCGGCTGTTTACAATGTTTTAACAGTCAGTATTAATAGCCTGTGTGTTTTGAGACATATAGCCCAGGTTGGCTGTGAACTTGGAATCTCCCTATTTTAGTCTCTGGAATGCTGGGATTACAAGTGTGTCCCACCATGCCTGGCTTGTAATAGCCTTTTGTTTTAAAAAGTTAAGGTGGAAATCCATATGTTCGAGCAAATAGAATTGTATTCTCATTTATATTTCATCTAAGCTTGAAACCTTGGTCTTACTGGTTGACTGTCCATTTTAGCTGTGATTCTATTATTCACATTATACTTCTCATCTTTTGCCTGTTTGGTTCTAAATTGCCTCGCCACCCTGCCCTCTGATACGAGTCAGCAATCTCACCTACCTAGTCCATCTTTCACATTACCTCTGTACCTTGGAGTTTTCCTAAAACTGCTCAGATCTCATCAGTCCTCTCCTGTGAAATGTTAAGTAGCCCCACATTGCTTACAATCCAAGCCACTATAGACAGCATTGTTTCTTACAGTGTTTTTTTTTTCATTAAGTTTATTGGTACATTTGAGGTATAAAATACAGTTACATTCATCATTGGGATCTTGTACCTTTACATGAGCATCTTGGTTCTTATTTTTTTCCCCTTCCCCTGCCCTCGCTTCACCACCTCCACCTTTCCATATTTGCAAAGACTTTTGTTTCCATTTTTTTCCTTTTCTCATATTTTTTTCTTTCCCCTTTCCTCTCCCTTACTCCTCCCACTTCCCCTGCTCCTTTAGACCTTTTCTTCCTATTACAACATACCAATTATACATTTTAAAACTACAATATCAAGATCTAGAAGACATTACCACAGATTTTACCAAATTTAAAAGGATATAGAAAACATATTACAAAAATCTTTTTTGAAATAAATTGGACAACTTCTAAGAAGTACCTTGGAAGACAAATTAATGAAACTGACTCTGGGGGAAATATAAAATTTGAATAGCACCTATTAAAGAAAGTATATTCCTAGTTTGAAAACCTACCTATATGACAACCACAGGCTCATATACATTTTAACTGATCAATTATATCAAACATTTAAAGCAGGGCCAGGGATTTAGCTCAGTGGTTTCGCCTCCTTCTGCGCAAGCGCAAGGACCCGAGTTCAATCCCCGGTACCCCCCCCGCCCCCGCCAAAAAAACATTTAAAGCAGAAAGAAAAAGCCATATGATCCTGTCACTAGTTGGAGAAAAAGTATTGGACTAAATTCTACCACTCTTCATGGTAAAAGCTATCAGGAGACTAGAAGTAGAAGAGAACTTTCTCAGCAGATCAAAGACTTGTACTCCATACTTCCAGGAAAAATGCCTTACATGAATGGAGAAGATACAATGCTTTCTCCCTAAGGTGGGGAACAAGGGCAGATATGCCTACTCTTCATCTGTCCGTTAAGCTTTGAAACATAGGCCCAAACCAAAATAGTGTGGCAGTAAAATGATACAATTAGGATAGGATTGGCAAGGTTTTACAATGGTTTTTTAAACTCCTGAGTGTTTGTACCTGGCATGTAACAGGTGCTAACAATGTATTTGAGTGCTGAATCATTCCTATTCCTGTCTTGGATCTTCTACTTTGCACTTATAAAACCTTTTCATCCTTGAAATCCTTAGTTATAAGGTATGCTAACTGGTGTAACAGATTGTTCCCCTAATATGTTAGTGGTTTAACATGATAGTTTATTTCTTGTGTATAGCATGTGCCAATGTGAGTATTCCCAGTTGTACTCATTTTCAGGGACTCAGCCTCTTCCAGTCTTTTTCTCATACTGCATCTTTAACATGTGGTTTCCAAAGATTACCTTGGAAGACATTTCCATTTTGTTCAGGCAGAAAGGGAAAAGAACACATATTACCTCTGGGAGGTTTTTATAACTCTAGCCAAGAAGTGGCTTAGTACACATTTTTCTTCTTGTTATGGACAGAATGTAGCCTCCCAAAATTCATATGGTGAGCTCTAAACTGAAATGTGATGGTATTTGGAGTTCACTTTTGGGAAGTATTAAGATTAGATGAGATCTTCAGAGCCTTCATAATGAAATTAGTTCCCTTATAAGAAGAGAATGCTGGATAGCTTGCTGGCATGGTCCTTGTGCATGTGCACAGGAAGGGGTCATGTGAGCACACAACAAGGTGGTAGCCACCTACAAGCCAAAAGAAGATTTCAGAATGAAACCTACGTTGTCTATGCATTGATCTTGGACATGTAAGCCTACAGAACTATGAGAAATACGTTTCTACTTCAAGCCATGTGGTCATGGTACTTTTGTTATAGCAGACTAAAAAACTATTTCTCCCTAACTCAGATTCTGTAGTGACAAATAAGATTAATCCAAAACAATCCTTTTCTTCTAGACTTCTTTCAGCTGGCGCTACCAGAGTTTATGCTATCTTGACCCATGGAATCTTTTCTGGCCCAGCCATTTCTCGCATCAACAACGCATGCTTCGAAGCAGTAGTAGTCACCAATACCATACCTCAGGAGGACAAGATGAAACATTGCTCCAAAATACAGGTAAAGATGAGATTCCTTCTAAAAAAAAACAAACAAGATTTCAGTAAGTATTTGATAGGTATCTGGACTCTGAAAATGTCCTTCAGTCTTAAGTTTGTTTTTTTTATTAAGAGTTTTTTGTTCTTGTTTGTTTTGTTTATTAATTTTTTTTGGTACCCGGAATTGAACTCAGGACCTTGTGCTTGCGAGGCAGGCAGCAGCGCCACTGAGCTAAATCCCTGGCTTGTCTTGTTATTTTTGAGACAAGGTCTCTGTGTAGCCCAGGCTGACGTGAACTCATAATCCTGCCTCCACCTCACCCCCCCCACCACCACCCCCCACCCCCGGTACTGGGGATTGAACCACTGAGCGGAACCACTGAACTAAATTCCCGGCCCACTGCCTCCACCTTTCAAGTGGTAGGATGACAGATGTGCACCACCACACCCTACTGTTGGTCTGAAGGGTTTAGTCTGTCATCAGAATCTCATCCAAAATTTTAAAAATCCTGCCAGTTGATGGACTACAGAACCTCTGAAGGATGAAACCCAGGATTTTGCACCTTAACAGCCTCTCCCAGTGACTGTGATGCACATTGAAGTTTGCAAATTCATGCCTTTCCGTATGAGTTTGTTTTCACTACTGGCCCTTGTAGACATTATAATGTGAAACCTTTAAACTGGTTGTATGCTCTTTAGTGTTTCTCAAAGTAGTTTTGGATCTATGTTTCTTATTAAAATGTAAATTCCTTTGCTCCATTCATGACCTATAAAACCAGAGGTTCTAAAGCCAGTATCTAACCCAAATAATTATCAGACACTTAAGTTTGAGTGCTATTGCACTGAAAAATTAAGACTGTAGTGTATAATAGTCCGTTGGCTTTCTGAAAATAATACATATAATTACAGGATTGTTGTCATTCTAAGAAAGGTTTTGTTTTGTTTTTTCCAGTTTAAACTTTTTTTTTGGTACCGGGGATCGAACCCAGGACCTTGCACTTGGGAGGCAGGCAGTGGAACCACTGAGCTAAATCCCCAGCCTTAAACTTTTTTTTTTTATTCTTAAGATTATTTTGTTTTGTTTAGTTTTGGTTTTGGTACTAGTGATTAAACTCAGGGCTTTTGCAATGAGCTACATCCCTGGCCCTTTTTCATGTTTTATTTTGAGACAGGGTCTCACTAAGTTGCCCAGACTGGGCTCAAATTTGTAATCCTCCTGCTGCAGCCTCCAAGATGGGATTGTGGGAGTGTGCCAACATGCTCATCTTAATAGTTTTTAAATGACAGCTCACTACCATTTTGATGAGTCTGAATAATTCCTCTATTAGCATTTTGATTCTTCCCTACGTGGTTATAGTAAAAACTTGCTATGAGCTGGATGTTGTAGTATGCTCCTCAGGACTGAGGGAGGCTGAGGCAGGAGGATCTCAAGTTCAAGCCCAGCCTGGGTACTATAATAGAGTTTCTCTCAACATAAAAAGGGCTTGGAATATAATTCAGTGTTTAATTCCCAGTACCCAAAAGAAAGAAAGAAATGGGATAGGGATTTAGCTCAGTGGTGCCACGTCTGCCTCGCAAGTGCAAGTCCTGAGTTCAATCCCTGGTACTGCAAAAAAAAAAAAAAAAAGAAAGGAAGGAAGAGAGAGAGAAACTTGTGAAGAGTACCCGAGTATGGGCTTAAGAGGTGGGTACTCACTAGGGTGCCCATAAGCCTAGGCTGCAAAATGGCCAGGAAGCTCTGTCCATATGTACTAACCTGGTACTGAAAAAAAAAAAAAAAAAGAAAGGAAGGAAGAGAGAGAGAAACTTGTGAAGAGTACCCGAGTATGGGCTTAAGAGGTGGGTACTCACTAGGGTGCCCATAAGCCTAGGCTGCAAAATGGCCAGGAAGCTCTGTCCATATGTACTAACCTGGTGCTTTTCTTGGCCTTTCTAGGTGATTGACATCTCCATGATCCTTGCAGAAGCCATCAGGAGAACTCACAATGGGGAATCTGTTTCCTACCTGTTCAGTCATGTCCCTTTATAATAGAGTAACTTCTGAAGCTTTTTAAACAACATCAACTCACCCCTTGTTTTTCCTTGGTATTCGATAACAAATTTGGAAGACCCAGCTTGCTCCAGTATACCTTTCCACATCCCACATTAGGCACATTAGAGTTTATCCTAAATTGAGAAAAGATAGATTGAGGCTGACTGTTGGGATTTCCTACCTGCCTTGTCTCATTCCACCTTCCTTGATTTTATGAGCCTACCAGCTTTTTTTTGGTACCGGGGATCGAACTCGGGTCCTTGTGCTTGCAAGGCTGGCAGTGGAACCACTGAGCTAAGTCCCGGGCCCCGACCTTGCAGCTTTAACTAGAGCTCAGCTGCTGCAAAATTTCAAACTTTTGAGGTTTGTTTGAAACTTGAGTTTGTTAAAACTTTTAGGGTTGTTTGAATGTGATTATGGAAGCTCAGACTCCTTTGCATGCGAATACTTCAGAGTTGTGCTTTGTTCAGAACAACCAGCCACAGAGGCCCCCCAGGTGTGACAAGTTCTCTAAGTTCTATCCTAAAGTACAGAAACTTGGGCAGCCCTAAACCTATTCCTAGTAGTGCAGGAGCCTGTAAGGCAAGAGTAGACAGCTCAGCTTGAGCAACTCCTGGCTGGGATTGAAGGTGGGGAAGGGGATAATACAGTGAAGCAAATATTTCTTGGGAGGAAAAAGCCTGACGCGTCATCTGCTTGTCTATATAGCTTGGATTCTCCTACCTATTCCTTTCTATTTGGCTTTACCTACAGCCACTTCGACCTTCTGGCCAAATATCCCCTTGGGCCCAAATGACTTGCTTCCTGCTTTGTCATCTCTAACATTCACATTAGATAATTTGCTGTAACTCAATCTTCCTTAGCCTGCTACCACCACAGTAGTAGGTTTTAGCTGGTATCATATAGTGCCTTTTGATTAATTTAAGTATTTAATTTTCATCTTCCTTCCTTGGATTTGTTTAGCCTCTCATGATCTGAGATTTCTGTTAAAAAGATTGATGGTATTGTCTCTTGTAGAGGAAACTAATAAAGTATGTGTATGTGACTTTGGGTTTGTGTCATATGTCCGCTGATTTCTCTGTTGAAGGTTTAGTTTAGATGTCTTGCTGTCCAGTGATGGCTCATATTTCTTGTTTTAATTTTTTAATTGTATTTTTTTTTTGGTACCAGGGATCAAACTGGGGACCTTGTGGTTGTGAAGCAGGTGGCAGCACCACTGAGCTAAATCCCCGGCCCTCTTGGTTTTTAAATTATTTTGGCTACCTTGTTAGTCAAGAGAAAATAAGATAGTAGTTTTATTCAAATGTAATAGATGTCTAGGGTATTCATAGTCTAATTCTGTGCACTGTATTTGAATTATAAAATATACTTATTTTTTAATTTGTTTTGTTTCTTTTTTTTTTGGTACCAGGGATTAAACTCTGGACTCTTGGCTTGCTAGGCAGGCAGCGGAACCACTGAGCTAAATCCCTGGCCCCAATTTTTTTTGTTACCTGGGGTTGAACTTGGGACCTTGCACTTGCGAGGCAGGCAGCAGCACCACTGAGCTAAATCCCAGGCCATAATTTATTCATTTTGAACCAATTTTGCCAGATACAGTTTCACTTTACCAGTAGCTGACATGTTTGGCATTTAATTTCAGCCCTTCTAAATAAAATCTATTTTGAAGCCCAGCATGGTGGCACATACCTGTAATCCAAGGACCGTGGGAAGTTGCAGCAGGAAAGACTGAAGTGAACTTTGAAATATGTGCCTCTGGCCTTCTGGGCCCTTTTCATCTCAAATCTGTTGTGGGTTGGGAGTGTAGCTTAGTGGTAAAGCATTTGTCTGGCATGCACCAGGCCCTGAGTTATGACCCCAGCTCTGTAAATGAAAAAGTTTACTTCAAATCTTTGCTCTGTCTGGAAAAAGCCCACATGGAGGATTGATCCCTTTGCTGGTTATACTATTTCCTGAAGTGGGATCAGTTGGTTAGGCTTCCTCCTTTCAGAGTACAGTAAGTAGTCCACCCACATTATCCCAGGGGAGTACCATCCAAGCCCCCCAGTGGATGCCTGAAACCATGGAAAGTACCAGGACCTATATACAGTATTTTTTCCTTATACATACGTACCTGATAAAGTTTGATTTACAAGTTAGCTACTGTAAGAGATGAATAATACTAGTAAAATAGGACAATTATAACTAATAAAAACATCATTACTCATGTGCCTCAGGGCCATTACCAGGTAAAATAAGGGTTACTTGAATTTGAGCACTGTGGTACAGAAACAGGTGATCTGATAACCAAGGCTACCTAGGACTGGTAGCATTCTGCAGTGTGGATATTTTAGACGAAGGGGTGATATATGTTCTGGGCAAGACACAGTGGGAAAGCATGAGATTTCATGTTACTCAGAACAACATGCAATAAATTGTGAATTGTTTTATTTCTGGAATCTTTAATATTTCTGGCCTGCAGTACACCATAAATAGTTGAAACCATGGAAAGTGAAACTGCATAAGGGGTAACTACAATATTTTGACCTAAGACTTCTGTAGTCCCCCTTTGAGTATTGTTTGGGGGGATTTCTTTTGAGACAGAGTCTTACTATGAAGTTCATGCTGGCCTTAAATTCACTATGTAGCCCGGGCTGGCCTCAAACTCACAGCGGACCTCCTGCCTCAGCTTCCTGAGTGCTGGGATTACAGGCATGTACCACCATGCCTTTTTCCAGTAAGCTATTTCTTAGTAGGAGATTTTGAGGTCATTTAAGAAAGGTCCCCATGGGCTGGGGATTTAGCTCAGTGGTTCTGCCGCCTGCCTCGCAAGCGTAAGGACCCGAGTTCGATCTTCGATCCCCGGTACCAAAAAATAAAAAAAAAAAAAGAAAGGTGCCCATTCCCCAGTTAGATCTCTATTCCTGGGGAAAGACCAGTATTCAGAGCCCTGTGACACTCAAAGTGTCTTCCATGCTTTTCTACAGTGTGAGAAACTTAGATGTGATGGCTTTTGAACTAAAGAGCTCCAAGAGCTCTTTAGTACCCAGTGGTCCATAAGGTGGCAGTACCAAAGTGAGTACAGTTGTAGAGCTCAGGTGATAGGAAACTACCATGGTTACTGTATGATTGATTACCTTTGAGCAAAAGGCACCTCCAGGCTGTTTCAAACCCCCTTGCTTCCCCCAACCCCAGAACCAGAGAAAAGAGGATTGCTAGGCCAAGGCTATCCTGAAGCCAATGCTTTTATATTTATTTCATCTCAAATGGGGCTACTAGTGTCAGTCTCCTTTCCAGAGTTGGACACCAAGTATTTTCTGCTAAAACTTGTAATTTGTCCATTAATAGTATGTATATACCCTGAAATTCACAAAACGAGGTCTCTATTGGCCTGCCCTTCTACCATCTCTTGCTAGCAGGAAGAGACCAATAGACAGGAAGGTAGGGAAGCTCAGGGGAAAAACCCTTAAATAGGAGGCTGAGGGAAGACAGGTTTGCACTGTTTCTCCCAGAGGACCCTCCACTCAAACTAGAGACCACAGACTAATTCTCTGTGTGAAAAATAGCCATTGAGCTGGGGATTTAGCTCAGTGGTTCTGGCACCTGCCTCACAAGTGCAAGGTCCCAAGTTCGATCCCCAGTACAAAAAAAAAAAAATACTCACTGATCAGGAAATGGAGCCAGCCTCCTAACCTTGCTTTAGTGTTCAGCTCCAGACTTAAGGCAGACAGACAATTCTTTAGTGGAAGCCCAGCTTCTTGGTTTACCTTTACAGAAGATTCAGTTCTCCTTTTATAATCCATGCACAATAAGAAGTTTGGATACAGGTGGTCCATGTATCTCTGGAGTCCTCTTTAAGGATGCCCAAGTGCCCCATCCTCCATCACCTAGTAACAGGTTCTGAGGGTCATCTATGCTGCCCTGTTTTTTTTCTTTAAGTAGTAGCGGGTTTTTTTGAAAAAATAAAAGTGAAGAGTGAGGAAGAAACTGGCTCTGCAGAGCAAGCTTGGGCCAAGTAAAAAAGGGAAAAAGCAAGGTAAAATAACACCCTGGAGAAAGCAGGGCCGGTTATCATGAAAAAAGCCACAAAAGCAAGCTTTTGGCATCTGTATCCTATTAAGCTGTCAAAATCTCAAGGAAACCCACAAGAACTTCTACATCCAGGTCCTGAGAGGTGGTGCTGGGATCCCACACAGGTCTAGGACTCCTATTGAAACCTGTTCAAGTTCTCACGAGAAGTCCATGTACAAGGCTTTGGGAACTCTTCCATGCTTGTGTTATGGGATCTTGTAATTAACAGGTCATGCCCACTTCCCCAGCCAGCTTTCCCATGCCCTAATCTCCTGTCTCATTTCTGAGATACAAATCCCCATAATTACAGAGTGCTCAGGGAGTGGTAGTCTGTCTTCTATAGCTTCTTCAAGCTGGAAGGGACTGTAGACCCTACCTACTGGGGATTATATGTTCTCCAACAACTTGGGGTGCTGTGGCTCTCTGGCTGCGTTTTCTTTTTCTTTCTTTCTTTTAAGTAGGAAGATATTTATTGATAGGAAAGCTCCTGTGGGGCAGAAGGGGTCCCGAGTGGGTAGCCAAAGACCCCACTTTACAGAGAAGTTTTATAGGGTGAAACCCACAAAAGTACAATGTGGGCCACAGCCATGAACATCCAATAAGGTTACAAGTATAGTCACTTAGGTAATGGTGGTCCAATTGGGAAGCAAGTCGTGTAGCAAGCGTACAAAGATTTTTCAGTAAGGGTGGGGGATCAGGGATATTTCCTGGACCAGCTGGGTTAAGACCTTGACCTCCCCCCAGGTGATAGATACCTATTTAGAATATCAATCACTGCTATTTATCCCCAGGGGAAGCACAAGGGTGTGTAGTTTCTCTCCTTTTACAATTCTGGCCTTCAGTGAATGTGCCTTGGGTCGCAATTGTCCTCCATGCCGAAGGCCCAGCCCTGTATAACCCACTGTAATATTTATAACTAACTTAGCTGTCTACAATACCAAAAGCCCCCAATAACCTTCCAGCAAATCCCCTTGGCTTAGGTTGGTCTGTCCCTTTCTGTGCATACAGTCAGGAAGTCTAATTGATGTGGTGCTGTGGTTTGTTTCACTTTTGTCCTGGCCTTCTCCAGGACTTAGCCCAATCTGCCTGCCTGTAATATTTCTACCTAACTCATTTATCTATAATATTCCCCCCTCTGAAGAAGTATCCCAAACTGCTGTGAGGGGGCAAGGGACGATGACTGCTTGAACTACTTCAGGCTGAAGGGGGTTGTAGTTGTGGTTGGCAGTCAGGGATACCCTTCAGAAGGTCTATCTAAAGGTCCTCGATAGGCATCATGCATTTCCATCATGGGTAGGCAGGCGTATAGCTTTAAATCTGGAGGACACAAGGCCAGAAAGACAGTTAAGTATACATGGGCCAAACAATAAGATCAACAGAAATATTATGAGTATAGCCAACAGATTTTTTCACCAGGAAGAGCTAGTAATAGCCTTCCACAGGGAGGATAAGGAGAAGTCCCAGGAAACTTCAGACTCCATCATCAGTTATGAATTGTTTACAAGGGCGATCTGGTGGATCCCAGTAAAAGAATTCTAGCACTTTTGTCGTTAGTTCCATTTGTATGACTGGAGTATGGGAGCTTCTAGACAAGAATAAACAAAACTTTAAAGAAATTAGAGCATGTATAATCTAAGAATGAGCACACTAGAATGGAAGGGCAGGTTGGGAAGAAAGTCACACTTAGAAATTGAAATAGTGATTGTAACCTGCTGGCTCTTGTAGATTCTACCATAGTTTTTTCCTAATGATCCATAACTGTGGCCAGCTACTAGTGTAGCTAGAAACTGCCAGAAGGGGACAGTGACTGGAGCCTTTTTTGTATCTAGCTTTATTACTATGGCATTATTTTATACCTCTTGGTTATTCTTTTCTGCTGGGTGTTTAAGACCAAGTTAAAGTGAGACCTGTGTCTATTAATATGAACCTCTTGCTATCTGTCTAGGTCAGTTAAGTCTCCTCAGGCATTACTTTGGCAGTTTCTCCACATCTTCA